TTTTTCCAGAAAATATCCTACTTTAAATGTTGAGTCTATTCTATGTCTTTGCCCTTTATAAGTGAAAAGCACCCCTTCAGGTATTAACCATCTGAAAACAATTCTGTTTTCTTTCAATAGGTTGGTCAAAGTGTTGTACGGCGCCCTTCTCTCTCTCACACGCCATGGAATATCTTTTAGGAAAGTTATTTCTTCTCCTTGTATTGTCATTCGGGACTCGTTGGCTGCTTTCATTATTTTTTCTTTGAGATCTTTTCTATAGAATTTTATGTGTACCTCTCTTGGTTTCTTTGTTTTTTTTGCATACGCTGAGTTCCTTCTGAATATCGTTTCTATGCCTTCCTCTATTTCTTCTTTAGTTGCTACCTTAAGTTGTTCCGCGATGTTGTTGGCTAGGGTTTCTTTTAAGTCTTTGTCTATTGTTTCCACTATGTTCTGACACCTTATGATAAGAGATGCTTTCTCCATTTCTAAATTTATTACTGTGTCCTCTAGTCTCTCACATTTGCTTTTAATATCCTGAGCATCTAGATCCATCTCTCTTACTTTTTCTCTAACTTTCCCCTGTCTGGTGGCAAGATTAATAATTTCTTTTCTGTTTGCGTGTATTTCTTGTCTATTATTCTGTATTTGCTGTTTCAATTCATCGGTTTCATTTTTAATTTGTGTCGCTAAGTTGTATATTTTGGCACTAACCGGTTCCATTTCTCTTTTTATTAGGGTAGGTAAGTTGTCTTCAAATGCATTTTTCATGGCAAGTGCCACCGCCTGGGCCACTGCTCTATTTACACTTTCTTCTATAGTTTTATTAATTTCCTTCATCGTTGCTTGGGGTGTTGCCATATTAGTTAATCTTAGTTGTGTACTTCCCCCCCCTAATCCAGGAGATGGAATTGATGCTTTCCTGTTTGCACTACCTCCTGAAGCCATAAATTTGTATGTATAGACTTGAGGTTTCTGTTCTATTTAATAAATTTTTGTCTCTGATTTTATCTCTAGTTGCCCCTTCTTGTATGTTTTCTAAGTTCTCTTTTTGTTTCTCTTTTGTTCTCTATGTTTCTCTATGTGCCTCTTTCTTTCCTCTTCCCTCTTTCCACTATTTCTGGTCCTTTAGATATTTATCTCTTTAATGTTCATTTAATGTCTCTTTAAATGCTTAAAGCTTCTGTCTCTTTAAATGCCCTTATAATGTCTCTTTAAATACCTTTTAGATGTTTATCTCTTTAATGTCCGTTTGATGTCTCTTTAGATGTTTAAGCTTCTTAAATGTCCATTTAATGTCTCTTTAAATATTTAAAGTTTCTATCTCTTTAAATGTCCCTATAAATGTCTTTATAATGTCTCTTTAAATACTCCCACTGCCACTGCCACTTAAACCTATCCGCTGTATAATTCAGTTCCGGCTTATTTTCTGATGCTCCTCGCCCCTCCTTTCTCTCCCCGTCGCCTCAGTTATGATGTCACTCTTTTCCTCTTCTCCTCTGCACCCCGCCCTTCACTGCTTGTTTCTCGTCGCTCCGACGCTCGTCTGCTTCGATTTCAGCTGCCTTGCTCTTCTGATAATTTATTTTCATTCCCACCATTTCCCCATATTCATTAATCCGATTCATTAGTTGTACCGAGTCCATTGGATCTTCTAAGATATATACCAAATCATCAGTAAAGGCTTGTAATTTATATTTATTTCCTCTTCTTGACGTCCCTTTAATACAAGAATCTTCCCTAATAGTTCTTGTCAGCACTTCCAACATTAATATAAACAGTGGAGATATTGGACAGCCTTGTCGTGTCCCTTTTTCAATCCATATATTATCTGTCAAGTCATCATTTACTATTATTTTCGCTTTCTGCTTTGTATAGATAGCTTCAATAGCCCTTATAAAGTTAGTCCCTACTCCACCTTCCTGAGTAGATATAAATTACCTGTCTACCATTTTTCTTCTCACATTTAACATTGTGTTAACTGTGTTAACATTGACACAGAGTACTCCATCTTTCTGTGTTATACCCCTGAGGATGCCAGTCACAGCTGCTGACGGAATGCCAGGTTCTACAATGCCAAGACCACAGCCATACAGCCCGGAAAATCTACAACAACCATAACTCTTTGGTGGTCTGTCAATCAAGTGCAACTCTGTTGTTCTGATACTACTGCAATAAAATTTGGAAGCATAATTCCTTTATTCTCATGCTTTGTCAAAACAATGCTGCAGCTCCCATTTTCTTCCTCTCCTTCATCTATTGTACTGTGAGAAAAGAAGTCATTGCCAGGTTTCCTCACACTAAAAATCTTTAACATTTTCAAACAATATTTTGAATGACGCATGAAGCATGGGATGAAAATGACCTCCAATCTGTTTAGAACTATATGAAGCATGTTTGGAGTACTTCTGATTTACACCTGTGTGTATATATGGCTGATTATTTTCACAGGGAGGTGGACATACTTTCATGTTCATATCAAACTGGTTTATGGATTATTCAGGCCTGAATGACTGAGGATTACTCCACCTCCCATTGTATGGCATCAGTACACTGAATACAGTACAGTACCAAAACCAATATTATAAACCAAATCACACTCACCATTTTGGGTAGTGTAGGATCAGCAGCTGTTTCACTATAACCAATTGCTGCATAGAGTTTATCCTTCTCCTGCGGAGTCATCAGCTGTTCAAGACCTACCATATTAACCGATCAATATTAATGCAATCAATTGCAGCTGTCATAATGCTACTCATTACACAAACTACACAATTATAAATATCCAATTACTGATAAAGATAACTTTCTAAAGGCAATTTGAAGATAGTTTGTTGCTCCATAAAATTTAATTTATAGACACTGGGATGGATCCAGACTAAATCCAGATACAAAAATGGAAATTTCCTGCTTCCCCCTACCCACTGCACCCCACTGATCTCTATAAAATTCTATTTCTGGGGGGTATGGGACCCTGAAGAATATCATGAGGGGGATCTGCAGCAGGAAAAGAGAATCATAGGCTATTGCCAATTTAGTCTGGATCCAACCAACTGTAAAAAGACTGAAAAGTTGGCACCACAGAGCAAGTTGACTCAGAAGTCACTCCAGAAACTTTGCGTTTACAACCACATGTACAACAGTGGATATCAAGTATATGGAAATAAAAAATGCACATAATATGCTTAGCTTCTACTTCAAGAAAAAAGTGGGCTGAAGCAGTATTTTAGATATATACATCTAGCATGAGCATGACTCATTGCATATATTTAAGAAAAATGCTGCAAGCCTGAGGTCTCATCTGTACAGGATTTCAGACTAGCAAACAATTATGGCTAGCAAGCAATTACAGAAGAAAGTGCTATGAAAGTATTAGGGGGGGAAATCAGGAAACCCAAGAGTATCTCAGAGAACAAAATAAGCATAAGGTGTAGGTTGCCATTTCTGTTTTAGTCGTTGCTAGCCAACTGGCTGGATTGTGTAGAAGCTGGCCTGAGAAAGAGCAGTTACTTGAAATGCACAGAATATTAGATTTTCAGAATTTTTTACACATACTCTGAGATCTCCTCTTTCTAGGTGGCGCTGGGAGAGAGATTGTCTACCTAGCACCCACTAGTATGTGGAGTCCCCCAGGAGGAAATCTTCTCCCCAATGTTATTTAACATCTATATGCACCCCCTCGCCCCACTGGCATGGAGTTTCAGGTTGGGCTGTTACCAGTATGCTGATGGCATCCAGCTATATCTGTTGATGGGCGGTCGACCGGATATTGCTCCTGCAAATCTGGCCTAGGGTTTGGAGGCCATAGTGGGATGATTAAAGCAAAGTTGGCTGAGGTTGAATCCTGGTAAAACGGAGGTTCTGTGTATGGGTGGGAGGGACACAGAATTGGGATGCTGACTCCAGGCCATTGATGGTGTGCCTTTAACACTAGCACCAACAGTGAAGAGGCTGGGTGTAACAGTGGATGCATCCCTGTCAATGGAGGTCCAGGTCACAAAGGTTGCCAGACTGATGATTTCCCAGCTTCATCAGGTCAGGAAACTAGCTCCCTACCTGTCTTGCTCTGACTTAGCCACAATAATCCATGCAATGGTCACCTCCAGAATAGACTACTGTAAATTGCTCTATGTGGGCTTAAGGTTTTGGTTCTGACATTTAAGGCCCTTAATGGTCTGGGACCCACACACCTTTGGAACCGCCAGGAGGAGGAGGAGGAGGAGGAGGAGGAGGAGGAGATTGGATTTATATCCCGCCCTTCACTCGGAGTCTCAGAGCGGCTTACAAACTCCTTTCCCTTCCCCTCCCCACAACAGACACCCTGTGAGTTAGGTGGGACTGAGAGAGCTCTGACAGAAACTGCTCTTTTTCAAGAACAGCTGTGCCAGAACTATGGCTTGTCCAAGGTCATCCAGCAGGTGCAAGTGGAGGAGTGGGAATCAAACCCGGTTCCCCCAGATTAGAGTCCGTGCACTTAACCACTACACCAAACTTGCTCTCATTATACATTATATTACAGGATGTCTTACTGCTTACATAGTACAGAAGTTCAAGCAAAAGCTGTCACTCATGAGTTACACATTTTTGGTGCATCTATGAATTTATAAGAATTTCAGCTCTTCTCTTAAACCTAAACTATATGATCAACATGAGGCATGAGTACCTGCTTGAGCTATCTAATTTATTTAAAAATGTTTCTCCAGTTGAAGCCGGTTAGAACTCTTTTAAAAGACTCTGTATAAGATAAAACCGCAGAGCTGCCTAGAGGAAAGGCTACCTCGCTGCCACTTTTATTCCATCCCCCCCTCCATGCTCCAGTATTACAAAAACGTATTTGATTGTAAATTCTTTCAGACATAAACTTGCCTGTCTTGCTTAAGTTCCTCTGTAAAATGCTATACACCCACTTGATCCATATATAATTAGTGTGCTTTCTGTAACTGTTCTCACAATACTGTGATCAGAATAATGTGGGTTATTCTAAAGGAAAATTATTGTGGCTTAATGCCTAAAAATTCCTATGTTATCATGAAGGCTGAATTAGAACCTTCAAGTTTTCCCAGCCCTAATGTTATATTAAAAATGGTTGTGCATGTGGTGCAGACTACATTTTTGGTTGTCAGAGGTATGCAAGCCATTGTGCTAGTTTATGAAATTCATTCAGTCATCAAAAAGAGAAAAATCAGCTTTTTCAGATAACTTTCTTTCTTTGGGAAAGTACTCATTATAAAAGTACATGCTTTCCGTATACAAGGTTCCAGAGTGAATACCTAGCATGCCCTCCTGAAGCACCTCAGGTGGTAGATCTAAGACTTTATAGAGTTATTACAACTCAGGTTAGATAATAGTGAACTAGGTGAACCAAAGTTTGTTAAAAAGCAGTTTCTCATGTTCCTAACTTCCTAGTTCTGATCATGTCACTTTAATATGGTAGCAGAAAGAAAAATTAAGGTGCTGAAAAAACCTTTTTATTGTTATTCTTTCTTGATCCCAACGTGTTTCAACTATAGCTTTCCTCAGGGAATCTTCCTATCATACCTTGAGCACTGGAAGCTTGTGTTATGAAAGATCTCCTAAGGAAGCTATAGACAAAACATGTTGGGATCAAGAAAGAATAACAATAAAAAGCTTTCTTTCAACACCTTGATTTTTCTTTTCTGCTGCTACTGCTGGTGTGGCCCTGACTTTTTCTTCACTTTAGTATGATAACACTAACCTGCACTCAGTGAACCTCTTGAGAAATATTTTTCTGGCTGCTCATATATTTATTTCTGTAAATACACATATAAAGTTTTTTTCCATCTACACAGCAAATGTACTGAAAAAAAAACCCTGCTTCATAAAGAGTACAATATAAAGTATGCTCAACTATGACTGATATTACAAAAATTTAGATTGACAAAACTTACTACTGATTTTCTGTACCTATTAAAATTGTCTATTTTATATATGGTTGTTTCCCTTCTGTTGCATAAGGAACAGAAGAATTCCTTGAATCTGGTCAGTCACAAATAAGAGAAAATGAATTAAAATGCCCTGTTTGTTATAACATACAAGTTTTTTTCTACAAAAACTATAGTCCTGAAGTAATGCCATGCCAAAAGGCATATTTGCACCTTTTGGTTCTTGTACTTTTTCTTGGCCACCTCCGCCTCCAGCCCATCCCCACATCCAACTAAACCAGCCTTTAGACTCTTCATCATCTTGTTTCACTCCTGGCCTGAATATTCTTAATCCAGCCTTAGCTGCCTATAAAGAAAAATAACAGAACAAAATTAGTATTATTACTCTTCACTATCGAACATTAAATGTCTTAATAGAGCAGGTATGTAGAAGTGTAACAGGAACAGGAGATGCAAAGTGAAATTGGGTAAGGCTTGAAAAGTCCAGCAGAATGCTAGACTTCTGAAGGGACCAGATAGCAAACTCCCATCTAAGGAATTTAAATCTGCTGAAAAGTAGAAGAATGGCTAGCAGTGAAATGATACTGCTACCTTAGCAACACTATTTAATGCCAAACTTTTTTTAAAAAGATGAGTAAAATTAAATAATTATAAACTTGGCAAGGTTATAGACTATACAATTAGATACCTGAAAGGAGATGCCAAGATTGATACATTTTATACACTGTATTTGAAATTATTGCACTGAAGCTTGATTTTTGTTGTTATTTTGGATAAGGATTTTGTTTGTCTTTATACCTAAGCTAAGGCAAAATAAAAGTTTTAACACCAAAGAGCTCAAACTACTCATGAGTTTAAAAAAAGCAAATTCAGAACAACAGCTGCTGTGTATTAAAACATTTACCTGAACTTCTGCCTGTTGCCTTGCAAGGGTAATGTTGAATATATCCAGGGTCCTCTCCATTCCCTATAAATAAGAGGAAGTAACATACTACATGTCACAGAATTCAATTAAAGGAAAAGATAAATGCAAGGAAAAGATAAATGGAATCACAAAGGTATTCTGAGGCCCCGGTCACACGCGAGGATTTGGGCCAGGAGAGGGATGGATCAGATGCGCGGCAAATGGGCGCGATCCCACAGCAACATCTGGGAAGCGTTGCCTGCCCATCACGGATCCGTCCCTCCTGCCCAAAACCCCGCACCAAAAAAGAACCACCTACCTGGGTGGTTCATCCGGAAAGGCCGCAGCAAGTGCGGCCGTGGGATCGCCGGCGCGTCCTTTCGCCGGCGCATCCCCGGCTTCTGGCTGAACTGCGCATGTGTGAGCCACAGGGGATCCGTGGGATCCCGCCGCGGCGTCTCTAGTTTGGTGCGACTCAGATTAGCTGCACTTCTGCCGTCGTTTTTCCTGCCGTGTGGCAGGGACCTGAGAGGTAGTTTCATGTCTAACAGGCTACAAGGGGAGAATGTGCATGAGACTATGCTTGCCTGTTCCCTCAAGTAAAATTTGATAGTCACTGACTTGAGGGTGAGGGCTTGGCCTTCTAAAATGAACCTAATATGATCTGAATTAATCTCATCTGTCACTAACTACAGTATTTTTGCTACTGTTTGGTGTCTGCCGATAGAAAAAGTTGCCTACCAAATTCTGTTGAGGTAGAAAATATCTGGGAGGCTGAAAGAAAGGTGGCATTTACTCAGTGATAGTCTCCAAGCCATTTTGTGATACACTCTGACTTTTAATGCCCTGACAGAAATGTAATCTCTTTGGTAGAATAGTATTTCAGACAATTCGGAGAAGTTCAGACATAGATATCTTTAGTTTGTGACAGCGATCAAATATGTACAAATATCAGAAATCCATTTGGAGGTATGGGACTGAATTGGTGCATGTAATAGAAAGTTTTAGCTGGGTGTCATCAGCAACGGTGTTACTGAAAGCTGTGGAATTTGATGAGGTCATCCAACAACAGTGTGAAGGAAAAAGTACAGCAAGAGATCAAATATATTTGTAGGAACCCAAATAAAGTAGAGCTCTCCCTTCCCCAGTGGAAACATGGGTGATACCATAGGATAAGGAGGAAGACTGGCTGAGAGCAGAGCCAGACACCTAAGGCACTGAGAGCTAGTTGATCATTTTAGTGAGGATTTAGCTGGGTGTCATCAGCAACGGTGTTATTTTTTATTTACTGCAGTGAAAAGTAGAGAGCAGGTCACATTATAGGCAGGGTTCTGTAAGAAGAAGTAAATCTAATTAAAAGATTGAGCTCTGTGAGATGAAGAAGTGCGTAGATGTAGAACTGAAAAAGAATGCAAGGAGCACCATTATTTCCCCTCCTCAAATAGGAAGGGGTCAATGAAGAGTGAAAGCCTTTCTCAAATGAAATTGTTATTTTCACTCTGAAAGTGATACCCAAAGTGATATACCGACCCAAACTCTGATAGCCTAGAGTGTTTAAGCTTTCAGCTGGGTGAAAAAGCAGGTCCACTGTGCTCTGTTCACTCATCCTTTATTCACAGAGCACCCTCTCTTATTTCTCTGTTAATTAGAAAGAGCACATGGAATAAAATGTATTTGGTTTATCCTTCTCCAACATACAGCTAACAGATTTTGACTTCCTGCATCTCCTGAAAAGCCACCCTAACTCACCAGTTTCTTAGTTGTTGTAGATCTTCTGGGCTGTATGGCCGTGGTCTTGGCATTGTACGACCTGACGTTTTGCCAGCAGCTGTGACTAGCAACCTCAGAGGTATAACACAGAAAGATGGGAGTACTCTCTGTGTCAAGGTGAGAAGAAAAATGGTAGGCAGGTAATTTATATCTACTCAGGAAGGTGAGGTAGGGCTGAGTCATGATCTTGTAGGAGTTCCCCAGGCTGTGACATGCTAATGGAGGAGCTTTCCTGAGGAGGTTCTTTTGCATATGGATGTTTCTGTGTTATACCTCTGAGGATGCCAGTCACAGCTGCTGGAGTAACATCAGGTCCTACCAATGCCAAGATCACACCAATACAGCCCATAAAATCTACAACAACTAATGAACTCCGGCCATGAAAGCCTTCGACAACATATATTTTGTAGCCATTATTTTAACTGTCTGTGGTACAAGTTCAAAATAACTATAAACGAACCTCCAACTTCTTCAAAAGCTCCCCATCAGGTTTCTTTGTTGTTATTTTTATTTTATACAGATCTCTATAGTTCTTCATGTTGTTTCTATGGTGACGAATATGATCCCAAGACCACATATGCAGCTTGGGTTGAACATTTACTTCTAGAATGCCATATATAACATACTTCCACCTAACAGAAAAAACAAAACAAAATAAAATATTTTGGCTATTTTAATGTAAACAACAATTCCATGACTATTTATTTATTTATAGACAAATTTATACCCCGCCCTCCCTGCAAAGCAGGCTCAGGTATTGCTTACCCACCACTCCTCAATATTACTGCTTACCACTATAAATTTCTGTTACAACAAACTACCATGCAAGTACCATTTGCAGGGCTTTCCAAAATAAATGTTTTTGAAAAGCATTGTATACAAACAGTATCAATGTCTTTAAAAATACATCCTCTATGTATAAGATTCTTAAATCAATATAGAAGTACCAAGCTTTAATTTGTAATCAATGTGCTGGAAAATATCTGATAACAGAATTCATCCTAAACAGATCTACTAAGAATTGTCCCATTCTATTCAACAGCACTTGCACCCAGGGAAGTCCTCCTAGAATTGCACTGGAAATAGTTCCACAAGAATTTAGATAAAAACATTCTCCCATATCATTTTAAGTAGTAAGATTTTTAAAGACAATTCAATACATTACCATTGCTTGGCATTGTTGTGTACAGGAACATTAGGTCTATACTTCCTATACGGCAAATTTCTAGTCATCATATCAATTGACTCAAGGAGCTCCATAATACTGAAATACTACCAAAAAAAACACAACAGAAGAACTCTTACTAATCACATACAAAGAAATTAGTGCAACAGATACCAAAATCATTCTAATACTACTCTGAGCAGATTAAATATTGTAGAACTTTCATTTTATTATGCCAGTAACTGACATCCAATACTTCAAGTAAAAAGGAGAATGCCAGGGTATTTCCAGGAAAGCTTGATTCTTCAAGTCCTGAGAAACTAATGTCAAGCTCACAACTGGACAGGACAAGCTACATTCATTTCTCAGTATAAGCAAAAACTGGAAGTCCAATTTCTTTCTTACTCACTGAAGATCCACAGTAGGAGTGTATACTCAGTGCCTGGGTAAACACTGAAGATTGATGTTACAGCTGTTTATTCATTCAGCCTTATTCTGTATGGACATTTGTACTGTTATTTTGGATTAGATGTTTTGAGACTATAATATATTCTTGTTGTATAAATGCTACCTTTTTGAAGACTTTTGGTGAATCATTTTGTACACAGTTTTGTTCTTATTGCTATTCCTTACTGTGTATCTCCAGTTTGTTGTATTTTGGAAGTGCAAGATAAGAGCCAAGTGTCATACATATATTGGTGGCAACTCATCCCTAATCACCACATGACCTCTCCCAGCAGTTTTATGTAAGATGTTGAAAAGCATGGGGAACAGCACAGAATCTTTTGGGACCCTGTGGGCTTGACACCAAGGGGTGGAGCAGCAGTCCCCCAGCACCACACATTGAAACCTACCTTCAAGGTAGGGCCAAAGCTATAGCAAAACAGTACCTCTGAGTCCCAATCCCAAAAGGCAGTTCAGAAGGATACTGTGATCAATGGTATCAAAGGCTGCTGAAAGGACCAGGAAAATTAACAGTCACGCTCTCCCTCTGTACCTCCTGGCTGAAAACTGGTTTTTAGACTGGTTATTTCAATGTCATTTCAATGTATTTATTGTTTTTAATGTTTGAATGGGGAAAAATTATGATATCTTATATAAGGTGTCTTATTTCTATTGTTATCCACCTTAGGTCCTGAGATATCATGCGAAAATGGGAATAACTGTAGTGGTGTAGTGGTTAAGTGCGCGGACTCTAATCTGGGAGAACCAGGTTTGATTCCCCACTCCTCCACTTGCACCTGGCTGGATGACCTTGGGCAAGCCATAGTTCTGATAAGAGCTGTTCTTGAAAAAGAGCAGTTTCTGTCAAGAGCTCTCTCAGCCCCACCTACCTCACAGGGTGTCTATTGTGGGGAGGGGAAGGGAAAGGAGTTTGTAAGCCGCTCTGAGACACCTTTGGGTTGTGAAGGGTGGGGTATAAATCCAATCTCTTCTTCTTCTTCTTCTTCGTAAATAAATAATAATCTAGTGCTCTCAGGAAGACTCACTCCCCATTTTAAAAAATGGAGAGTGTGAAGAAAATCCCAGTAATTTCCCTAGGCAGGACGTGTTTTTCTCTTTCTTTGTATCAGCTTCTAACAACAAATTGTTAGGAAAGCAAGTCTCTGGAGAGACATAATACAGATTTCCTAATTAAATCAAAAATAATGATAAACAGGAAAGAAAAAGAAAACTGAGGTCCTTGCTAATAAATTTTGAGGCTGAAAAGCAGGGACTTATGTGTCTGGCAGACAAATTTCCTCCAGAAAACTATTCCATTGATGACTGAAACCTGTGGCCCAACAGCAGGAAAAGTGGTAGCCAGTCAACCTTCAGAAAAGCTTATAAAATAAACAGTTTCTGAATATCTGTAACATTTATACCTATAGAAAGTTACCTGTGGTTTATTAAGTTCTATGATTATATCCTGAAGATTTACATCTAGATCTAGTTTTGGTGCAGAAAAGTCAACATCGGATCGTGGATTCATACGGAGCTTGGTTTTAGCTGAAATTGGACGGAATACTAGAAAAGAGAATTTTAGACTACATTATCCAAAAAACGTCAATTGTTTTTCTCAATATTTTGTGGGAAAATAACAGAATAGAACACCTCAACTAGCGGAGTCTGCAGCACCCTGCCTCCCCATTGTGACTTCAATTCCACAGACAATGTTTGCAATCTCATCTTTCGTAGGAGAAGGAAGGATTCCCCACCACTCAGCAGACTGCAGGCTTAGTCTTAGTTACTGTCTGTCCAGTCATAGACAGAGTTGTGCTGTGTGTGGACTACTTTAACAGCACTCTGAAGGGTAACATGGTTCTGCCATGGTCCCTTCAGGACTGAAGCTGGGAGGCTGCATCTGATGCACTCTTATAAAAGGGCAAAACATCTAAGCCACAATCATCCTAGCTGGAGCCTGCTAGCTGTTACTAAACAGAAGCAGAGTCATACAGTACATGGGTGTGGATATGCACTAGGGAGGCATGTCTTCAATCTCACTCAGCAAGGAAGCTCAGTGATATCACCTTGGGAATATCACTTCAAACCAACTACTCTGCTGTTTGTAGTTTGTTGCAATGATAAAAAGGGATAACCTCATCTAGGCCACATACAGCACAACTGTACTCAGTAACTTGGATCAGAATGAGAAATATGTGAAAAAGATAACTAGCAAATCCTCATGTTCTTTTATCTGTCTTTTATAGGGAAACCCCTATTTCTATTTTGTAGAAAGGAGTACCAGTAGAAAACAGGGAAGGTCCCTCTTCCTAAGGATACCACTTTGATGCTATCGAACAAAGAATATTCTCCCGCATTAGGGGAACTGTCATTCTGTTAAACTGTCAAGCTGTTTAAACTGTAATCATCTGTGCAACATCAGGCTGTAAGCCAGAAACTCAGCATTAAATCAAACACACAGCTATCCACAGTTTTTAAAAAATCTGTTTTAAATGTGTACTTGCTGTTTACTCATTTGCTAGTCAAGATAAAGCATCAACCCTCAAGTGATACTGGATTTCTATGACTGGAACTCCTAGTGTTCTCAATGGATTCTAAAAAGCAGATGTGGGTAGCCTCATGAAATGGACTGAAGATGTAATACTGAGGGAGGAAAGAAAAACTCTTTCTCGTCCCTCTCCCCTAGTTCATTTTTTTATCCCATTTCTGGGCTGATTAAGGCCCTGCTAGAAAGAAAAAGACAGGTATATTCAATTACCTTTTATTGGCATACAATATTAGAAGCATTTACCAATAATAAAATCCAAAAGAAATTATAAAATAGATAGTCGTGGCTATGTTAGGCATAACTCAAGTTGTCACAAGCTAGATTTGACCATACAAAAGATGCCTGAATCATAAAATAAATTGGCATTCTAAACTTTTAGTTTTTAGACTTATAAATTAAGAATCATTAATATGATCAGGGTCACTCTTCCGTTTTATAAAACCATGGAGAAACTTAGCGGCCAGTTCAATGATCTCCAGATCTCTTGAAGCAAGGAGAAATTGTACCTTGATTCTATCCGATTGGCCTGCTACCAACCTAAGAGGGGCTTCTATAAATTCCACTCAAATGTCATTTAACAATTTACAGTGTAAGAGTACGTGCTCAACAGTTTCTATTTCTCTTCTATTACATCCACAGAACCTGACTGAATAAGGAATTTGCTTATATCTCCCCTCAAGAATAGCAGAGGGGAGAACATTAAGACGGGCCAACAGATAAGCTCTACACATTTGCGGTGAAGTCAGGCAGAAAAAGTAATATGGTAGAGCACCAGAAAGGGGATAGGCCCACCTTACTGAGGAGCACCTTCCGGAGGCAAGGGCTCTGAGCTCTTGCAACTATATCAATAAGCCTCTGTTTAAGCAGAGTAAAGACCTCAAGCTCTGACCGGATGACAAGGTCACTCAGGTTAAAACCAATAGAAGTGATTTTCTTTTCAATAGCCATAAGCCACGCAGAGGATTGAGGTATATGTATTGGGATACAGTAGTTAGAGGAGTGCTTTCAATGGGAGATACAGTGTGGTGAGTGTTATGGATCACCGTGTCTTAGCAAGGGAGGATTAGTCCTCATCACAGGAAGAGGACAACGTATCCCCAAACCCTGCCTTGGCAGATTCTTTCCATGAGACCAGGGTCTCAGGGTCTTCCCAAAGGGACCCTGAGCCAACAGGGCCCTCAGGCCTAGAGGCCCCAGCATGGATCTGCTCTTTTTTGCAGTTCAAATTTTTTTTTATTTTTAACATTTATATACACAAACATTTCATCTGTTCCGGTTACATATAATTCAGAGTCATTCATCTCTTGTTTTTTCTTTACAAGTTGGGGTTATTAATTTTCTGTCAAGTTTTCTATCCACATATATACTTTTTCCCATCTCTTTTCATGTACCTTTTCATTTTTATTTTGTATCATTAGACTTAAGTTATCCATTCTAGCTAGTTCCAATAATTTATGTATTAATTCATCCCTTGTAGGTATAACTTCAGCTTTCCATTTTTGAGCTATTAGCAGTCTAGCTGCTGTTATAATGTAGCTTAATACATATGCATCTTGTTTATTATATTCTGTCGGTATCATATTTAGCAGATAAATTTCGGGTTTTAACGCTAGATTTTTCCCCAGGCTTTCTTGAATAACCTTTCTAACTATCCTCCAGAAGCTTTGAATTTTATCACATTCCCACCACATATGATAGAAAGTCCCCTTACACTCTTTACATTTCCAGCACCAATTTGGATATCCCTCATAGCATTTCGCTAACTTATCTGGAGCCCAGTGCCATCTATGAAACATTTTATAAACATTCTCTTTGTATGCTACCGCTCTCATATATTTAACTAACTTCCATATACCAGTCCATTTTTCTTCTTCTAATTCCTTCCCTATGTCTTTCATCCAGGTGATCATTACAGATTTAATTTCTTCATCCTGTTCGTAATCCTTTAACAGGAATCTATATAGTTTCTGTATTAGCTCTTGACCAGACCCACCATGGTCTCCTAAAACACCACAGGAGCAGAAGGGACAAAGGGCTAGGGCTGAGACATGGACTAGGTGCAGGAGTGTGCGCCTGGCAGCCTGCAGGCTCCCCTCTGCTAAGAAAATGCTGGAAGAAACTGACAAGTCATCATAGGATCTGGGCAGCACCAGTATTTCTCATGAGTAGAGGCACTGAGTCAGCTTGTAGGGAAGAGCCTAACGTGGGAAACAGCAACACCTGTAGGAATTCTCTATATAAGCCTGCAGAGAGATTGCAGCCAGTGTGGGGTCAACTTGTCTGCAGTCTTGCTGTTTAATCCATAAGTTGCCTGAGCTGTTTTGTATCTGTTCATGTTACCTGACCCTCCGACTGCTTTTGATTCTGCTTCTGGAATATGTAACCTGACCCCAGACAGAGACCTTGAGCTGTCTTCTGATTTTGCCTTTGACTGTGTTAATGGACCCTTGGACTTTTGGACTGTTACCTGGGAACCCCTGCTGTCAGACCCTGTGCAACTGGGACCTGCCTCCCACTTGGTGACCAGGACATTGAGGGAAGGAACCCACCTCTGTTCTCAGTACCACAGCCTAAATCCATATAACCCCACACTCCCACTGCTTATTTAGGGCCAAAATATACATTAGGTTCCAGTTATGGAGATCAGCCATGATGTGTAGTTCAACTCAATGTTTCTAATTGCACATGTTTATTTCAGCACACCGTTCAGCACACATATTGTAGTCTAAAATTATTTAATGAGCTAAAAGTTTACAGCAGCTTGCTTTTTGCTTTTGTTATGACATACCTTTCCTTTCCACGTCCAATAAAAGCTCTACAACAATGCATTGACATACTGTACGGTACATTGGTAAATTTTTAGAAAACCACAAGTAGAAATAGAAAAATGGCACAAATTTTACATAAGAAACCACATGGTTTCAGATAGAGGAAAAGATTTTTACAGCACCATTTACACCAGTTGCTAAAAGCTACCTAATGCATATTTGTCTCCTCTCCTACATTTTATCCTCACAAAAACCCTGTGAGGAACATTAGGCTGAGAGGATATACAAGCCCGAAGTCACCCAATAGAGTGGGGATTCAAACTTGGGTCTCCCAGATACTAATCCTACACCATACTAACTGCCAAGGAGAAAGGTTCCAGTCTAGCCTTCGCCTTGACAAACTAGTTTTCTGTCTGTAGGAGTCTTTCTTCATGAGGGAAATACTGCACCATCTGAGTTCCCATGTGTAGTATGAAGAAATACAATCTAGATACAGGTTTACCACCTCATCTGCTGTCTGCAAGATCTAGGCCTTAGTTATGGCAAGGAGAAAGGGTTGTTGTTTTTTGTCATGTTTCAAGAGTCTGCATTTGAGAAAAAGTAATCTATAGCTTACCAAAATCATAGCCTTCTGGAATCACATTAGTGCCCGCAACTCCATGCTTTAAGTTATCCTTTTAGGGGGAAAAAGGTTTTGTTTTCTTAGAAAATAAAGCTTTAAAACTACATATTAACTTACAGAACTTATACATTAGAGAAAGAAAGAGATGGTAAAATGAAGCAATGTTTTTAAACTGGTCATCTTTCACCATTAATAGTTTTATAATGATATATTAATACAGAATGAGCTACAGAAAAGGCTGACGGAGACCAACTCACAAGTATAACAATAAAGTAAATGTACAAAAAACTCAAGTATAGATCCAGCCTATGCAGTCAATTCCCAGATTCTCTCTCTGATAGTAACTATCCTGTTTGGGCCCATGGGTGTCTAAATTTATATGCATATGCCCTGTATGATGCGGACCAGGATTACTATTGTTAACACCATTGTTTACTTTATTTGTTACATACCTAGGTTGGCATAACTGAAAAGGATAACATAATAAAAGTAAGAAAATGGGGCCAATGAATGATCCAGCAAAAGTGGCTTAAAAAATAAACAGCTCTGAGCATCTTTTCAAAGATGAAAGTTTGTACACATAGTTCTAAGTAATGTGGATTTCTTGACAAGGAGGTTCCCTGCAACTTCCCAAGCTACTCTTAGGAGACGACATAGTCATCTGCACAAGAAGAAATAGACACATGCTTTGACAGTCAATTTTTTATAGTGGCTTTCTGCCTGTGTATAAATATGAATAGTTCAGAACTACACATCTCAGTCCATTGAGAATCTCACGTATAATTCTGAACATGGCTCCAGAGTGTAGATTTTAAAAAATCTGCACAATAGGGCTGAGTAGAACTAGGTGAGATTTTTTCTATAAATATGGGGGAACTCTCAGGTTTGCAGAAATATCTGAAAACTTAGAAGAAAAAGAATAGTAAGGGGGATTTAACCCCCAAGTTAAAGAGAAAAAAATCTTACAATACAACATTGCAAGAGCCCAACCACCCTCATGTTGGACATTGCCCAGCAATCTCCAAGATTTAGTCCCAGAGGCATGGGGGAGAAGGGACCAGTAGTGGCAGTCACCAGCAGAGGAAGAAAAAGATGGCAGCAAAGGTGGCCACCAATAAGAGAAGGAAGACAGGCAGGTGCCAAAGAAACTGGTGGCATTTGGGAAGGGGAGAAGGCAGTGGCAGTGGTCCCCCACTACCTGGATGACAGGAAGAAAAGAAGGCTTAGAACAGAAAGCCAGTCCTGTCTGCTTTCAGCTCCAAGCCTTCTCTGATCAACTGCATGATGGTGGTTGGGGAGACAGAGCAGAAAGCATTCTGGATTGTCATTATGCTCTAAGATTTTTCCCCCACTGAAACCCTCAGCTCTAATCTCTTCCAAAAACCCATCAAGGGAAACTTGGAGCTCAATGAGTCCCCTGCAACTTTCAGCTCACTCATTGGCTGGCTGGCTGGCCCCATTAAATCTCCTCCATGAGAACAAGAGGGGATGAAAATGGCTCCAAGAGGATAACATAATAAAATGGCTCCAATCATTGTAATTTGTACCTTTCAGGTCCTACTCAGAGAAGCCTAAAACTCTCTTTTGAGCCTAAGTTTGCAAGCTCAGTTCTGTATACCTGTTTTCATTATATATGAGTTGGGAGCTTCTAACCCTACAAGCTCCTTCTGCCAGCTAACAAGCCATACTCAGATGTTACACCCACCCAGGCATATGAGTAACCTTAGATAGGACAGGTGCGCCAAGTTAGGGAAATGAGATCACACTAACATAGGCATAAAATAATGTGGTTCCACAATCTATTGCAAAAGTCTTACTTTTGACAAAGCTATACTTTTTTGCTCAGATTCGTTGGACAATGCCAGATTGCCTAATCAAATCCTCTTTTCCTTCTTGAATTCTTGTCTACATCAATTTACACAGAGGAAGTCCATTGTCAAAAGAAAACAAATACAGCCTGAGCATGGAATTCCTGTTGTTTCTTTTATCCAACAAAAGCTGTATGGCTCAATATTTTCAGCAGTATAACGATCTGAATTTTCATTTACAGTCTCTTACAGTCTAACAGGTGGCTTAGAAGTTAAGACGCTGAGTTGCAGACTGGAAGGCCGGTAGTTCGGCAGTTCGAGATCCTAGTGGGGCAATGTGCATTACCTTGCATTTGCCTACATGAGTCTTCATCTGGAACATTGTTGTCCACTCACTCAATCCAGTGATATTCTCTTGAAACTATTTTATATCCATTTTGATTTTCACTATTCTGAATAATTTGGTATCATCTGCAAACTTGGCTAAAATACTGCTTACCAGTGTTCCCTCTAAGCTGAGTTAGTGTGAGCTAGATCACAGTTTTTTGGCTTCTGGTTCACACATTTTTGTCTTAGTTCAGGAAGGATGGCTCCAGAGCAAACTAATTTATGTGGCAGCCAAATCGCTTGCTCACAACTTTAACACAAGTAGCTCACAAAGCAGAATTTTTGCTCACAAGACTCCACAGCTTAGAGGGAGCATTGCTGCTTACCCACAATTCCAGTTTAAGAATAAATTAAATAAATTAAATCCAAACACCAATCCTCATGGAACCTCACTGCTTACCTCCTTCATTATGAGCACTGTTAACTTATTCCTACTCTCTACTTCCTATCATTTAACCCATTTTTAATCCTGATATTTAACCCATTTAATCATTTTTAATCAAGTCATAAAAGTGCTCTGTTTACTCCAGAGTCTTTGATGAGGGACTTTGTCTTTGGGAAATCCAAGTATACAATGTCTATCAGATCACTCTTATCCATATGCTCATAAACACTCAAAGAACACCAAACAGCTGGTGTGGCAGGACTTCTCTTTGCAGAAACCATGCTGTTTTCCTCAGCACGATTTGTTTCTTCGAGTAGTTAATAATTCTATCTTTGATAATAATTTCTACTTAATTACTTAGAACAGACATTCTATAGTTTTCTGGATCTCTCTGGACAGCTTTTTAAAAATTACATTAAACACTGTAATACAGAAGCCAATTTTAGAAACAAGCTGCATATACTAGTTAAAAGAGCACCTATTTCACAAGTGAATCTTTAAAAATTTTTGGGTGTATGCCATTTTACTCACCAAAGATTCATTATAACCACCATGATAAAACATTTCAGACTTCACATTCCAGTATGCAAAAAAGTTGTCCAATCGAACAAGCTAAAATAAAATAAGATTAAGAAGAAATCAACTACATTGTCATCTTTCAGTACTTGCAGTATTATACCAAGATGTTAAATAAGCAAACATTCCAATACTATAGTTTTGGTGTACATGATCACCAAATTATTATGTTTACTTTATACATGTTATATACTATCGGGATATTATTTTACCACAGAATCTTGAAGGTCAACGTCGAACCATGTTTATAGTTCTAAGCAAATGAGCACTCTCAAAATCCAGTTGCACCCATTTATTCTGATTATTAAAACACATATTGTCAACATCAGTAATAAGTGCAAGAAAATAAAATGATGGTATATGCTGGGCTAGTCCACACATTTTAAAGGAACTCTGGCCAAAAATCCAAATTATGCCTTTCCCAGGATAAATAATGAAAATAAACAAATTATTTTGAACTTTTTGAGGAAATACAGAATAAAGAAAAGAGGTAAGGGGAAAAAATAAAAGGTAAATTTACCAAAACATAGTATAAAGGGCATTTTTTGCAAATATAAAGGACAATCCTTGATTCAAATACTTGAATTTTTAGGGAAATTATATAACATAATAACTTTAAAAACCACTATATCAACCTACTCAACATTCTACCATTTTCATATATTAATATTTTTATCCTATCTTATCAATCTTATCAGTTATATGATAAACCATGAATAACCTCATAAAAATTGTGTATAATTTTAACAGACGTTTGTTGTGATAAGAATCATACAAAAGAAAACATCTTTAATACTTCATACTGAAACTATAACTTAAACCATTCAAGTGCATTACTACAAAGATTGGTTATAGTAATCATAGAAAACTTGCCAGTTATTTTCAAGTTCATCTTTCAGCCTCTGATTAATGAAGTTTGTCAGTTTTGCTATAACAGCATATTCTTGCATTTTATTTATCCAGTTCTCGAGAGTTGGACAATCTTTGATTTTCCACTTTGCCGCAATTACTACTCTTGCTGCAGTTAACATATATCTAAGCAATTCATGTATAGTTCTTTCTGTGTTCATCGGTAGAATTCCTAGTAACATTGTCTCTGGTAACATAGCAAATTTTATATTCATTTTTTAAATTTCATTATGTATTTCTCTCAATATTTACTAGGTTGCTTTTGGGGGGTTTTCAAGGACCACCACAAATGGTAAAAAGTACCATCTATCTCTTTACATTTCCAACAGAGTTCTTTATAGTTTTTATCTATCTTCTTGATATCTTTTGGGGTAATGTACCAGCAATAAAAAATAAAAAAATTAAAAAGAGGAACTGCGTTGGCTCAAGTGGTTAAGATGCTGAACTGCAGGCTGTGGAAGGTTGGTAGTTCAGCAGTTCGAGACCGAGCTGCCGCATGACGGAGTGAGCTCCTGTCTCTAGTTCCTGCTCCTGCCACCCTAGAAGTTCGAAAGCGAGAAATTGCAAGTAGATAAATACGTACCACTTTGGTGGGAAGGTAACAGCGTTCCGTGCACCTTGGTGTTTAGTCATGCCAGCCACATGACCACGGGAACGTCTTCGGACAGCGCTGGCTCTTCGGCTTTGAAACGGAGATGAGCACCGCAACCCTAGAGTCGGATTCGACTGCCTTTCGAGCAAGGGAACCTTTACTTTACCTTACCAGCAATAAAACATTTTATATTTCTAAGTGCTTGACTCACAGTAAATTTTATGTCTTTCATCTATAACTCTTCCCATTGCCGAAATGAAATCTCCTTCCCAAAATTTTGCAACCATATCTCCATGCATGTCTTAACTTGTTCTGTTTCTGTGTCATATTGTAATAAAAGTTTATAAATGTGTCCTAAAAGATCTTTTTTGTTCAAAATTATCTTTTCAAATTCAGTCAGATTATCTCCTTGATGAATATCTTCTTTAAGCCTTGATGAGATGTGTAGATATATTAACCACTGTATCTTTTTTCCTTCTTCATTCATAGCTTGCCAAGATTTAATTTTCCCATGTTTATTGATCATATATTGATATGTTATAAAGTCATTATTTTTCCTCTCACGTTTGTCATAACAGGCATCTACTGGTGGTGACATTATAGGTGATGTCGGGGGACGTATTCTTGTATTAAGTGACCACAATTTTTCAGTAAACTGTCTCTGAATACATGACCATTACATATCATAGCTTTTTAACATGTTTTCCCTGTTGTTTTAATCCTAAAGTATTTATGTAAGCCTTCAAACAAATCTGCTGCTTCCAGTTTCATCAATCTTTCATTCAGATTTTTTAATCCAGTCAAAGATTCAAACCAGGCAGGCTGCCTGATAGTACAACCTTATATCAGGGATCACTAGGCCTCCTTTTTTTTTCATCTTCTAAGAATTTAAATCTAACCCTTTTCTTCCCATTCCATATGAAGGTATTTATCTGTCTTTTGCCAGTCTTTCAGACTCTTATCACGTATCTCAAATGGAAGCATCAGGAATAAAAAAATAATTTGGGGGAGAATGTACATTTTTATTGCAGAAATTTTTCCAAGACAAGTTTAAATTAGATCATCTCTCCAAAGGCTTTTGAATTTTCTTCCAGTCTATTTCATAATTATCTTGAAAAAGTGTTTCTTTTCCCCGGACTCACTTATGCCCTAATATTTCATTGAGTTGGAAACAAGATCATAGCTGGTAACTGATTTAATATTATCTTCTTGTTTGGATAAAAACTTTACAATTATTTTAGGTTTTTTCTGTTAATCTTAAATCCAGAAAGAGAGCCAATTTTTTCTATATGTTCCATAACAGAATTTATATAAATTTTGTGGATTTAAAATTGTCAGTACTATATCATCTGCACAGCTCTCTAATTTAAATTCTTCTCCATCAACTCTCAGTCCCTCGACGTTTTGATCTTGTCTGATTTTAGAAGCAAAAGTTTCCATTGAGAGGCTGAATAATAATGGTGACAAAGGACATCCTTGTCTTGTCCCCTTTTCTATCTAAAATCCATCCATTAACATGCCACTAATTAAAATTTTTGCATTTTGTTTCATGTAAATACTTTGAATCCATCTCAGGAATCTAGGTCCATAGTTTATATACTGTGGTACTTTTAACATAAAAGTCCAAGACAGATTATCAAAAGCTTTATCAGCATCCAGAAACATAAAAGCCACTTTCTCTTCTTTATTTTGCACAAATTCCATTCCATCAATTATAAAACAAAGATTGTTTTTTATATATCTCTTTGGGACAAAACCTGTTTGGTCTTAGTGAATTATTTTTGTCATACATGTCTTAAATCTCTCTGCCATTTTTGAGGCAAAAAGTTTGTGATCCACATTTAAAAACAATATAGGTCTATATGATTGTGGTAGCATTCGATCATTCCCTTCCTTGTGGAATTCCCTATGTGTACCTCCTGCCACGTTTCTGGTATAGTTTTCTTTTCACTTATTTGATTCATCACTTTTTGCAGCAGCAAAATTAGTTCAGCCTCCAAACATTTATAATACATTGTCAATAAACCATCAGGGTCTGGAACTTTTTTTTTTCCAATCTCTTTATTGGTTGATTCAAAATGTCCTTATCTTCTTTTGTGAATTTTCGTATAGATACATCCTTTATACACTTGTCAATTCCAACCTCATTTCAATTTTCTTTCTTGTAAAATTGTGGAAAAAAGGAAATGAATTGTTGATAGGTAATTTCATTTAGTTTTTAATTCCAGTTACTGATTTTCTTTTACTTTCTTTTCTTAAACAATAAGCCAAGTAACATCCAGGTTTATTTATGTTCAAAATATTTTTGTTTAGTAACTTTTATTTTTTTCTGTATTTCTTTAGATTCAATCAAATTTAATTGGTTTTTCAGTTGTTTAATTTCTTTTAAAACGGTTTAAACAAATTATATGTTTCCAGTGTTTTAATCCTTTCTGTTATTTTGGTTGTTCTCTCCATTTTATTTTTATTTTTCTTAAAAGCTATTGCTATAAGGTTTCCTCTCATTAAAGCTTTTGTTGCCTCTCAAATTGATACCATTGATGTATTCTCTGTAGTATTTAATTAAAAAACCTCTGCCAAGTCCTTTTTATGTTTCTCAATTATACCTTTTTGAAGTAGGATGTCATAATTTAATCTCCATCATCCTTTTCCCATTCTTCTTCCTTGCCAGGATATCCATAATGTATTATGATCTGCAAGATCTTTGGTTGAATCTCAGCATTTTAAAAATGTGTTATTAATGTTTTAGACATCCAACATGTCAAATCTGGAATAAGACTGGTGTCTATCCAAATAAAAACTATAATTTCTAGATTTGGGATTAATTGTTCTCTAAGCAGCAATCAACTGCAACAATTCCATGTATCAAACTACATTCTTGGGAAGTCTCCCCCACTTTGTTTAGATTTATGCTTTTTGGGTTCCAGAACTGCATTCATATCTCCAAAAATTATTATCTCCCTACTTGAAAATCCAATAACTTCTGAAAGAAATTATCATAGAATTTTTCTTTAGCATTATTTGGAGCATATAAAGATATCAATGTGTTAATCTTGACATTAGGAAATCAAATTTTCGACATTAAATATCTCCCATCCACATCTTTCAAATCTTCTATAATGTTGATTCTATGTTTTGTTATATAAATCACTATCCCTTTCCTCTTCTCATTCATCAAGACAGCATAAAACTTTTCCAGCTTTTTATTCTTAAGAACATGTACCTGTTGTTTTTTTTACGTGGGTCTCTTTTAAACAAACATTATCTGCCTTTTGCTTTTTTAACAGATTGAAAATTTTAGACCTCTTAGTAGGAGAGTTTAAGCCACTGATGTTTATTGGTATCACATTCAGAATATCCATCTTTTCAGTGTTTTCTTGAATTTTTTTTAATTCTGTGTCAGTCCTGTAGTAATATCTTTTTTCAGAGTTGAAAGTTCGTTTTTAATACCATTGTAGGTATTTTCTTGACCTTGTTTCAATTGCATAATCTGTTGTTGAATCACTTCTATCTGAGTCACTTTATGCTGCACACAATCCTCTGCTGCATCTGGGCAGAGAATGTGTCTGTAATTGAGTTCAGCTGTGTGGCAAAGTTATCTTGAAGTTTCTCTAACCATTCCAGCATTTCCAGATCAGTTTCTTCCTCAGTCTTTTCCCCCCCTTGTCCTTCATCCTTGTTGATGTCATTTTATTTCTATATCGTCTATAGAGGCCTTCATTAACTTATTATCACAAACTTTTCATTTGATTACAGTCACCACATTGAAACTTGAGCTTAAACTTTAGATTTATAGTATACAGGCTCTGGAAAACTCTACATTTATAATATAAAACTCAATATCAAAGTAAGCTATGTCATCACATTCAACCATGAGGGACTTGTATTTCAAATACTCTAATTTATAGTTTATGTTAAAAGGAGGATTACAAAAACATTAAATATAGTAAGAAAGAAAAAAAGAAAATAGGGTTAAATAAGATATGAGGTGCTAAATTAAGTTAATCTGTTAATAAATGTTAGTATTTGTTAATTACGCTTCTTATTCAAGAGTATTTCACATAAGAAATGAACCAAATTATACTGGTTATTTGTTAATATTATTAAAGAATTTAAGTTCTTTTATTAAATTCTTCTTGTTCATGGCTTGATGTTTAAGGCTTGGTATTCAAATCTTCACTTGGCATCAATCAAAAAATACAACATAAACAGGTTTAAAAGTGAGTTCAACAGTGTTTATAAATCCCATTGCGAGTATTTGCAAATTCCACTGAATAGCAGCAAAGACGACTACATAAATTGCAAAGCGAGAATGGTCTAGTTCTAAATAAGCTTGAAAAAGGTTTTCTAGAATGTTGAAAATATCTCCTCCACGAAAATGGCATCTATTGCTCCCAAAACAGAGTGAGTTCAGGGGATTCAAATACAACAGTAGCAATATAAAATTAAGAAGAAACAACCTTTATTCAAACTTGTCCAATATTTAGATGCAAAATTTAATGAGTCTCAAAAATCTCAGACAAAACAATGACTCCTTTTTCCAAATTAGGAGACAGACAGACAGTAAAAATATATTAATGAATAGAATGATAGTAATAAATCTTGAGTAGTAAAGGTCCTCAAGGGCTTTTCATTAGTTCAGAATGCAATATAAGTTGTCCAAATAACTTGGATAATGATTTGGATACGTTCCCAGTGAAAACGGAAGTAAAAAAAAAATCAACACAGTTCTTTTAAACAAAAATATGCCCTTGTATATAACGATAAGGTAAAACACCTAGGTATCCAGAAAGAGAAAAGCGGGGGGGGGGGGGGAGCGGAGGGGGAGGAATCGGCAGGCCCTCTTTGTTGGTACTGACACTCAGCACATGACCACTAGTAACTCACATTTCTGATTAAATCTGATCTGGAACTGATACAGATCACTTGTCAAAGGCCTCAGATGAGGAGTGAGATGGGTTTATCTCTCACCAGTGTTTTTGAATGCCCCTAGGGAGTTATGGTCTCGGAGCCTAAGGAAAAGACTCATTAGTGAACGGCCATCTTTGCCAGACCTCTCTCTTAAAGATCCTTAATGTGCTCTGACTGTTTTTAAGTCCCATGCAAACTGCCCAGTCACTTTACCATAGAGGAATATCATGACCTAGCTAAGCACAGAGAGACAACATGGGCTAACTAGGGTTGCCAGGTCCCAGCCAGCCACAGGCAGGGGATGGGTGGGCAGGGTTGCCAGATCCAGGCTGGGAAACTCATAGAAATTTGAGGAGGACAGGGACCTCAATGCCATAGATATCACCCTCCAAAGCATCCATTTTTTCCAGGAGAACTGATCTCTGTAGTCTGGAGATGTGGTAATTCCGGGGGATCTCCAGGTCCCACCGGGAGTCTGGCATCCCTAGGGCTGACAGGCAGAGGTTTGTCCTTGCTCTTTGTCTCTGTCTCTCTCTTTCACAAACACACACAATGATGAACCAAAGCACGGGGTGTGGAAGTACAGACCGATTTCCCACAAGCAGCTGCGCTGCCCTCACTCTTCCCTTTCCCCCCGATTGTATTCATCAATTTCCCTCTACTTACTGCACAGCCGCATTTTGACCCACAGCATCCCGATTTCCCCCGCATCTTCTAGATCCTTGGTTTTTGAGATCAAGAAGACACGGGGGAAATCGAGGGATGCTGCAGGTCAAAATGCAACCGTGCAGCGATTACAATCGGGGGAAAGGGAAGAGCGAGGGCAGTGCAGCTGCTTGTGGGAAATCGGTCACAGCCTACACTAGAAGAGCTTCCTAATCTCAGGAGGGATGAGTGGGGAGGAAAGGCTTTCTCTGAAGGTGTGGAAACACTGCCATCCCATGTATTCCACACCTTCTCAGTCGCTCTCAAGGGAGAATCAAAGGAGGGTCTGAAATAGTGAATACATGACCACATCTCCTCCACATCTTGTGCAAGTGCAAAAGACAGGCCCTTCCAAGCTGTGGCCGAATATGGAACTTTTTATCAGCCTCCCCCCCCCCCCAATCTTATCCCCTCACTTCTGGCAGTTCATACAAATTGCTATATTCTGGAAGAAGATAACCACTGAATGGTTTCCCTGAAGTGGTGCAAGTTATTTCTTTACCATTGATCCAGTTACTAGCTGTTTCAGTACTATTTATGGTCTTTTACTGCTGATTTATTGATGTTTTATTGGTGATTATAGCTTCACAACTGCTTCCTTTTTTTAAGTTTTATCTTTTTGTACTGTAGCTATTTTTGTTTTTCCATTTTTACTTGTGAGCCCCCTCCCGGGTGATGTTTCAAAAGAAATGCAATACGGAAATCCCCTAAAAAGGAGATAGCCATTAAAATGAAATGGTCTTGAGAAGCCGTGACATCCGTCATGAAACCTAGAGGCCACCCTTTGTTTTTAACCAACATTCAATAAATCATGGGTAACAGAAGTACAGGATAAGCCAAAAACCACGTTTGTGGCACAGAAAAAGATGCAATGCAAAGAATAATGTTTAAACAGAATGATCACTAGCAGCCCTTGTTACATGGCAACTTATTTTCTCATGTATATACTATAACTTGGTAACTTCCCAAAGGAAAGTGTATATAGAAATAATTATATCTGGAACTTTACCTTATAGAACAATTTAGCTGTTTCATTTTGTATACATGGATTCCAGTTTTGATCTGAAGTCTGAAAGGCAAATATAAAATCTCTCTGAGATCAGTACTATAGCATAAGCTCCTGAGTTTATCTGTAGTATAAATACATCACAAAATCAAATGGACAGATAATAGCATGAAGATCAGCCATGCCAGGGAATTTACACTGCAATTTTTTTTTCTCCTCCACCTCACTCTACTTCACCTGTGGTTACATAAGCATTACAGGCACAGGGACTACTACTGTCTATGGAATCCGTGGTGAAGAATGACACACTTTCATTCTTTCCCTCCACGTTCCCATAACTGTGAGTACTGCATAGCCATTTTTCAGATTCCTTTATAAACTATTATCTTCCCATTGCACTATCCCTTCCAGGGTAAGTACTCATATAACTTTCAAAGCATAAACTAAACAACCTCTTGCAACCACATTAGGCAACCTCTTGTGAATAGCTTTATATGGTTTTGTTAAGAAAAAAACTTAGTTCTAGGTACAAATTCTACCTAATAAGCAGGCACTCTCCCATACCAGAATTTCCCTTGTCAGAGAACACAGCAGGACCTGTGGGTCCTCGAGTTGGGATGCACACAAGAAAAACAGACCTTGTAAAAATGTATAAAGATTTATTAAATTAATAAAATAACTGACGATGCAGGACAGTCTCTTTAGCTTGGCAACAAGAAAACAAAGAAGCTAATTTTGCTATCTAATACACTGAATATCTTGGTATTAAAGTGCAACGTTCTTGCAGCATAAAATACAAGCAGTATCATGAAAAGTGTTCTATATATTGCAGTTGATCATGATGAAGCATAACATATCTAAGCATACTAGCATGCTGTTACCATAACTTTCTCTGGCCTATACCTTTATTATAGCTTTTTACCCTATGGCATCAGGTGGTCTCTTGGGTCCAATCAAGGAACTTCTGCTCAGGAACTTTCCAGAAAATCTTGGCAACTGCTTCTAATTCCCCCCTCCCATCTGGTTATAAAACTGAGAACAGGTTTTCATGATTTGCCCATTTACTACATTCTTGAATCCCGCCTTGAAAGAGATGGGGGTTGTAGAATCACTGAAATCACAAACACTTGGGAGCAGGACTAGGCCTTCTAATATTCACATTAACCCTTGAAGGAAAATTAGGGTGCTGAGCCGCACAACCCTGCAATACATTACATGGCATTAGTGCACTGTATTCAAGCTATTTAAACGCCAAAAGAAAAATCTGGTTTTTGTCTATCAAGATGCTCAATCATAAAACCATCAGAATGTTTGCTCAGGCAGCAAAAGTACTTTAAAAATATCTCAGTGGTCATTCCATATCTGTAAACCTATCTGCCAGAGACCTGTTGAAGCTCAGAACTTTGTCTTCTAGCAGTTACACAAAACATTTTTATTTGTGCTTGGTTTTTGTGACTATGATTAAACTGGTTTGCAGTTCTAGCATTTGCTATCACTTCTCTTTTCATGTTCCTAATTAATGTTTCCATGCCAGAGTCTTTTCAGTTAAATGCACTACAAATTTTTGTATCTCTTTTAAAAAGACAGAAAAACCTACATGAAGTTTGGAAGGAGATTTTTTTTAAATTAAAAAAGGATGATGCAATATTGCTTAAAACAAAATACCTGTAAACTAAGATTCTGAAGTGAGACACCAAATGACAATGGAATATCTTTGTTGGTTATCTGAAAAAACAAAGAAACCAAAAATATTAAATTCATTACAAACATAGTTAAAACTCTGCAACATGTGGAAGGTAAGTTTAAAAAAAGAATATAGCTCCCCAGTATGGTGCCCAACTAGCCTGCAGAAAAATTTCCTGACTCTTTCATAGAGGTTTCATAGACTGCTAAATACCAGGTGATACCTGGCTTCAATTGGATTTATATTGCAGCTGCTTTTCATACTGTCAAATTAATCTTCTCCACTGTTTCCTTCTAAAGATAAGGTGTGGGGTGATTTTCAGCTATTCCTCCCCCCACTGCATGCCTTCAGTTCACCTTGAGGGTCCCATGTCCCCAGAAGCAGCATTTTGGGCAGGAGTTGAGAAATCCAGTTCTGTTGATGGAATGCCTTCTGGTAGCAGAGGTTTACTGTGGGATCCAAGCCTTCCCCTTTCTTTTCTGTGTCTAGCCTTTCAGACCCAAGAGCAGGGCCTTTATTTTAACTTGTTTACAGAGACTAATTTAATGCTATAGGAAAGAATAATAACAACATTCCTTAAGTTACAAGCTTGAAGGTAGCGGAGAGAACAGCTAAATTTTCTGCCCAAAAGGTTCCAAAGAAGAAAGTCAGAGTTTAAAAAAACACGACAGAAACAAAAAACCTACAAAGAATTCAAACCCAGCTTCCACAAATTCCACTATTTACAGAAAGTACAGTCTGCATTCATTCAACTTGCATAAAGAGCTCATAGCCTGAATCACCAGAGCAATATTTTCAATTTCCTTGTAATGTGGAAAAACTATATGTAAAATTGTTTCTGCCTACAAATATTTGAAGACATTCCATACTCAAATACTTACATCATCCTCATACCGAATATGAATGTTGGAAATTTTCAGCTGAAGATTTTTGATGACCTGAGTTACTAACTTTTCTACGAAAGTGTCTTGTTTCTCTTGTGCTTTATCTAAATCAAAATACAACCCAGTGTTATTAAGCATACAAACTCTAAAACAAGGAGAACTAGTTAGCAAACTTTTAATGCTACATACCTTAACTAGTCTCCCTCATGGATCACTGCCTTGACGTGGTGAGGGGGCTTGCATGGTTCAATGAGGCTGATATCTAAATCAAAATACAACCCAGTGTTATTAAGCATACAAACTCTAAAACAAGGAGAACTAGTTAGCAAACTTTTAATGCTACATACCTTAACTAGTCTCCCTCATGGATGTGGTGAGGGGGCTTGCATGGTTCGATGGGGCTGTGGACTATGCCGTGGAGGGCCACCCAGGATGGACAGGCCACAGCAGAGAACTCAGACCAAGTGTGATCCACTGGAGAAGGAAATGGCAACCCACTCCAGTATCTTTGCCAAGAAAACCCCATGGACAGTATCAAAAGACTAAAAGATATGACACCGGAAGATGAGCCCCTCAGGTCAAAAGGTGTTCAATATGCTACTGGGGAAGAGCAGAGGGAAAGTACAAGTAACCCCAGAAAGAGTGAAGCGGCTGTACCAAAGCCGAAAGGACGCTCAGTTGTGGATGTGTCTGCTGGTGAAAGGAA